CTAATTACATTTGAGAATGCAGAGTGCTCTGTCCCCCGTGGACTTGGCCACTGGTTTTCTAAGTCTGTCTGCAAGGGGCCTACTGTTTTTTGCTGCCATTTTTGTGAAGTTTGTTATGTGAACATGTAGCATTCAGTCCCCTTCAGTGTCCTAGTTTCCAGCAGCTAGGACTCATGAGCTCTTTCTTCCTTCCTCCCTCCCTTCCTCTCTCTCTCTCTCCCTCTCTCTCTCTCTCTCTCTCTCTCTCTCTCTCTCTCTCTTGTGTATAGGTGTTGCAATTTGTGTAAAAGACAAAGCAAGTGTGGTTGACCTTGAAGAAGTCGGTGGGCCACCATGTGGTGTTGACCTACCTGTTAACTTCCCAGTTTCTTTGGGAACGCTCCCATGGGACAGCACATGCTCTCCCTTGTATTCAGCACTGGAAGGGAGGGGCCATGCTCTCAGGAATGCACAATGTTCAGAGAATGAAAATATTTGCAACTTAGGTCTTGACTGGTGCTGGCAGCATATGAGTGACTGTGAATGAGGTCCGGCCCCGTGGTGCCTCCTTAATCCATGTCATGTTTCCTGAGGTCAGCAGTGAGAGCCCTGCAATCCACTCCATCACCGGCTGTCTTTCAAGGGAGCTTCACCAGGGAGGAAACTCAAACCCCTTGACCCGTCAGAGGACAACAGACACCTTTCTTGCTCCTTCATGTGGAAGTCATTATTGCCTCTTCAAGGACAGAGAATTACAAATTGATGGAGCTCCATTTTCATGGACAGTTTGGTGTTGAGCATTTAAACAAATGTATGCTTTGGGCATCTCCCTCCTGCTCAGGAGACGATGTCTTAATTATTTTGACCGAAGCCAGAGCGTGTTGTGTGTTGTAAGCATCTGGTTTATCGTTCATCCAGCTGAACTGGTTTATATTTTGTTAGAAGAAAAGGCTTGGGATTAAAGGCATTTAAGTAATTAAGCACACGTCAAGACAATTTGGTGATGGGTAAATATAGTCTCTGTTAAATGCACCGTCTGGGGGCTCTGGTTTCGATTTATGTCCGGCTGGAGTGCAGGGATGAAAGCAGCATGCCGGGCCAACTGGGCCCTATTCTGGGGGGAATCAAAACCAAATGGGCTTTCAGGAGCATGGCACCATTATTCCAAGTACCTGTCCCAGTGGATGAAAGTTTCCTTTGAGTTTGGCCCGCGGAGAGCAGAGTGTGGTCCCTGTCTCCCAGAAGCATTTGCTTCTGGGGTTTAATAAGCCTGTCTTTGGGAGGCAGGCTGCAAACCCTATGCTTTGGTTGTGGCTTTGTGTGTAGGAAACAGAGATGTCTCTGGAGCTGAGTGTGAGGTTTTGGGTGATGAATGTGTGCTTTCAGGTACCAGTGCCAGGGCCTGAGCCTGGTCTGGCCATGTTTCCTGGTCCCAGTGCCTCTCGACACACAAGGATGGTGACGCCTGCCAAGTCAGATCAGGCTGTACAGTGGGTAGTGAGGAAGCAGAGCTCTTCCTTTGGGGCTCAGAGTTCTAAGTGACAGGTATTAAGTGCCTGGTGATTGGAGGAGCTTTAGAGATGAGTGGGCGACCCTGAGAGCTTATACTTTGGTGGAATGAAGGCACTGCTGCTCTTTGGGGAATAGCAGGAGAGGAAAATGTCTTTGGAGCTTTCTTCTTCCCAGTCTCTACTCTGGGTGTAATAGGACAAAAGCTTGGGGTCTCTCCTCTCCCTCTCTGGGTCTGTAGCAGTACGGAAAGACTATAGATGCCATCCTGAAGAAGAAAGCTTTACCATTATGGCAAGATGGATGGTACATGATGGAACCAATTAGCCCATTTTTGCTGAAAAGAAAGGGGGAAAAATCAGAATTTCAATTTTCAAAGCAAAGACTTTTTAAAAAAACATTTGATTATTTTATTCCCCCTTCAAACTGATTTCCATGCTTGTTTGGGGGTAGAATCTTGGTTTCTGAAGTCTGAGGGTAAACCAGAGGCCAGGGCACCCCTGTTCTTGGATCTAGTTGTGGACCAGTGGCTGTTGTTCAGTTCCCCTCCCTTCCTTCCCCAGCAGCCACTGATTGGGATCATCCAGATGATACCATGAAGCCATCATGCAGGACCTACCCAGCTACGGGTGATGGAGAAGCATTCAGTTACAGAATTGGCAGGCACTGGATTTTCTGAGTTTAGGACAACTCAGGTTTCAGAACCTGAATCTTTGCTCCAAGGCAAAGAGCCATTAGCCTGGACTTTCTGCCTTAGAAAGCAGAGTAATCAACTAGAATCTAGAATTTCCTCCTCAGCACGGGATGCCAGAAAAGCATGTGAGGAGGGTGGATGCCCTTGATGAGCAAGGGTGACTCTCATGACTGTCATCTCTTCTGTGCTCCCAGACAAAGTGGCCTGAGAGGTGCAGGTGAAAGAGGAGTGTTCACTGGCCCAGCATCTTGCAGGCCTTTGGGAGACACGAAACAAATCAGCGATATCTCAGAAGGGGCGTGGGCTACATGTTAGGGTTAGGGTTAGGTTAGGGTTAGGTTTACAGGAAACTTAGAGATGGAATGGCAGCAGAGTGCACAGATTTAGATCCCTAGTGATTCAAGATCTTTTTGAGGCTCTGGCAGCTGGACCTAGGAGTTTAGGTTGTCAGTTTACTGCTGCCAGACACTCACCCACTGTGTTAAAGAAAACTGGGAATTAGCAGAAAAGTTAATTGAGTGAAACACCTGTTCAGTTTTTCCAGTACAGCTTTGGTTTTATGTTCAGGGCATGTACAGCGGCAAGGCAACTGTGGGGTAGCAGTGCAGGGATCGAGGGGTAATTACTGGGGTCTGGTTCAGCTGGGGGTGTACCTGTCTGTGACACTTCAGCCTGTAGCCATGTGGACAGCAGTTTCATAGCTTTTAACTCAGTCCTTCCCCAAACCCCTCTCAGCTTGAGGCTCCCCCCTTTGATTATTGTAGGGTGGCTTCACATGGCTTTAGTTAGGGCTCTTGAACTGATTAATGATGCTCCGAGTGAAATTGTATTCTGTGAGACAAACCTGCAGCTCATCCGACCTCCCAGCCCCACACATCTGCATGCCCTTCACCCACTCCTGTTCCTTGCACCCCCAAAGTTGTCTCCCGTGTTTTATGTTCGTGCTAAGGAAGAAACTTAAAATCAGTAGAGGATTGTTGCCTCTGGTGAAGCAGCAACAACAAAACACTGAGTTCCTGCATAATGGAAGAATGGCTGTCCACTTTATATTCCCTGCAGGGTCCCCCCAGCCTTTGCTCCCTTGCATGTCCATGGCATGGTCTCTGCAGCATCCTTCATCCTAGAACTGTGGTGAAGCTAGGTACGGTTTGAGAAGGAGAGTGCTGATGAGAGATGATTGTCTGAGGTCTTCACAGCCTCCAAAACCCTGCAGGAGGCAATGGGTGGGAATAGGAGGCGGGTAGCAGTGAGCTTTAATGAGTAAATGTTGCCTGGTTTTGTTATCCAGCCTCATTGTTTATCCAGAGCTGTGAAAATGCAGATCGCTTAGCACTTGGACCTCATACATCTCTCTTTTCAAATTGCTATCTTCTCATCTCACTACTGTCTACAGTCTCTGGAAAGAGCGATTTGAGCATGCAAGTGCGTGAAAGACAAGGGAAGTCATTGTGTGCCAGAAACTTCCTCCTCCACCTCCTTCCCCTCTGTTAAATGTGGATCCTTGTACAGCAAGATCCTTGGCCCTGTGGGTTGGTGAGATATAATCCTGCTCATCTGGAAGCCAGTCCCAGGGCAGCCTGTCCCGACTCAGACAGAATGTAGACATTGCTATATGGACACTGAATAAAACTAACAGAACAAATAAATAACAAGTGTTTTGCTGAACAGAAGTTCTCTGTTGTGTGTTGGAGTTAGAGACAGGACCATTCAGTCATTTAATGTTTATTCAGTCTGGTCAGTAAGGTGCAAGTGTCGTGAGAGATTACAAAATGAATCCTTTGATGTATACTTGATGAACTTTTTGGTTTCAGTGTACCTTTACACTTAAAAATTATTGGGAGCAGCCAAAAGGATTTTAAGTGGGTTCTATCACTCAGCATTTATTGTATTAGAACTTAAAACTGAGAAAATGTTTTGGCCCAAAATATTCCTTTCTTTTCTTATAATTATTAATGCATATTCATTGCATCGACTAATGAGAATTACTTTGATATTTCCATACATGTGGCTGTCATGTCCGTCCAACTCACAAGAATATATAAGCAAGTCAGATGTGTGGTGCACATTTGTAATCCCAGCATGTAGGGGTATGAGGCAGGAGGATTGCCATGAGTTTGAGTCCAGCCTGGACTACACAGGGAGACCCTGTCTCAAACCAACCAACCAACCACCCATCAGCACACCTCCCATTAGCCACTGGTGGACATTGTTATTATGCAGCAGAAAACTCCACTGTATACTTGTGAGAGAATAAGAACGAAGATGCAAAATATCACAGTACTGTTATAAAGATATTTTTACTTCTTGAATCCCCTGGAAGGTCCCCCTGTCTATACTTTGCACACTGCCATTTCACTGCTCCAGGCCTCAGGGAAATCAGGGTACAGATGGGCAGGTCAGGCCCTGCCATGGGGAGGAGCAGGAAAGAGCAGGAACCTGAGTTTCCCTGGAGGTGGTGGGGTCTCTGGCATGGGCTTTTGTTGATCAGAATCACAGCTGTCCCTGCAGCCGCTCCCCCTCCTGATGAGTGTGGCTTTTTGGTGCTGGCGGGTTTGGAGTTATGGGATTGGAGGTATCTGAATTTTCAAGGAATGTGAAGTTCAAGCGAGCACATTTAAGCTGAAAGCATGGCTTTGCATTTGGAAAATGAGGACTGCTGTTCTGCTGAGAACTAAAGTGTGACAAAAGCTTCTGGATAGGAGGGATGCAGAGGAGAACGCAGAGACTCCCAGCGGGGAGGCGGGTGAGGGTTCAGGGTTATGATGGCGCCTTCTCAGCAGCCCTTGGCTTACCGTTCTCACCTTCCTTCCCTCTGCAGGTATTAACTCTCTGATAGCAAGCAACGTCTACGAGGCTGCCTACCCGCTTCACGATGTAAGTGCTGCTGGCCTCACAGTGCTCTCGGGGCAGAGGGAATCATGGCGTTGAAATACCTCGCAGTCAGTCTTTGGTCTACTTAGGGCTGGCAGCAGGGCTCAATGTGATTCTGCCGGTGGTCTCCAACTGTCTCTACAGTGAAGCTGGCAGAAGGAGCTTTTTAAAAAAAATTAATTTTATTGGTACATTTTAGGTATACAATACAACGACATTCACCATGGAGATTTGTACCTTTACATAATCCATCCTGGTTCTTATATTTTCCCATTCCCCTGCCCTGCCTTCAACCCTGCCACCCCTCCCTATTTACAAAGACTTTGTTTCCATTTTTTCATTTTCTCATGTTAACTCCATTCCTGCTTTCCTTTCCCCTTCCCCTCCTCCTTCCCCCTTTTCACATTATCTAGCATACATTTTGATCTTTATTTATACTTTCTGTTTCTCACACCAGAGAAACTTCGGTATTGGTTTTTATTTGAGCTGTCCTTAACTCTCTGCCTTTGTTCTTGGTCTAAGTGTGAGCATAAAGATCTAGCATGTAGGAGTGCGGGGAGATGTTGGTGAAGGCAGGTGGATGGTCATGAAAGGAAACTCAGTCCTGGGGGCTACACAGTCTGAGGTATCTTGGAAGCATTCCTTCCACTTCCAAGCAGTGTTGTGGACGTCCCGTGATGCAGTGCAGTATTTGTAAAGACAGTCTGTGAAGGACTTAACTGACTCTGGAATTGCATGTTTCCTGGCTTCACCCTTCACCTGATGCGTCACACCCTTAGTGTCTGTCTTGCAGTGGTGCCAGGTGAGACGGCCCCACAGGAGCGGCTCAGGTGGGCGCCTCCCTTCCCAACGTGCCTGGTGGCAACGAAAAGCCCAGTTCTGCCAGCTGTGAACCCCCAGGTGATCACGCCATGGCCTGGGGTGATTTTCTCATGATGTGCCAGCCTGCGTCCAGGCGGGGGCTCTGCTGTTGCATTTGCTGGGCGTGGGCACAGGCTTTTGTGTAAAGCATTGGAGGGAGAGCATCTCCATGTGAGAAGCTGGCCCAGTAAACAGACGCTGCCAATGGTGATGACTCGGGAAGTGGAATATTGGCCCCTTCCCATGCCATGTTTTTGACCTTCCTTAAATGGAAATGAAAAAGGGATGGAATGAGAAAATAAAAAAGGAAAATTCTTTCTCATGTGGCATCTGTTTTTGATATTTCCATTGGCCTTATCTGGCATCCCTTTCTCTCCTACAGGGTGAATATGACAGTCCAGGGGAGGACACGAATGACAGAAAGGTGAGCCTGCTTTGTGCTGCTCCAAGTGCCGTGGGCATGGAACACCGGGTGGGCGTGGAGCTGGCAACAAGTGTTGGTGTTCCGTTTGTCTCTTTATGTGTTGTCAATGGTTTTTCCATAGCCATCCCACTCCAAGCATTTGGAAATGTGAGGGCCACCTCTGGGCATCACCATGACTGTGTGCTGTGAAGGTGCTCCTGGCATTAGGTACCTGAGGATCCATGATGCTAACTGTTCTGAAACGCCCCACCAGTCCTCCCCAGAGCTCGTACCCTGCTTCCATGGCAGGAGTTTCAGTTAAGAAACATGGATGGTGCTCGCTTTGGCAGGATATATATTAAAATTGGAAAGAAACCCGGATGGTCCAAATCCCTTAGTTTACAGAGATGGAAGCTGAGACCCAGAAAAGCTGAGCACCTTGCCCGAGACCACACAGAGATGGGTGTGTAGGACAACCTTGCTTCCCAAATCCAGGGCCCCTGCCCAAAATGCCCACTTATCCACACCACTGTGGCTTCCTTGGGAGTCGTTTTAAGTTATACTTTCCGATCCTCCAGGCAGGCAAGTGGAATGCCGTCACTCCCAAATGATAGGTGAGAAAGCTGAGGGAGGAGGAGACTCTGGACTGCTGTGTGTGCCAAGGAGCTAGAGTCTGAGGTGATAGGTGGAGAGGGACAGGGCCCTTCAGCTCCTGACTGCATAGCCTGCTGCCCGGCCTCTGCCTCCATCGCTCTGTTTTCCTGTGATGTCCTGGAGTCGTGGATGTGTTTCCATCCCTGGCTGTGGCCCGGCACCCACAGGATGTTTGCAGCCTCTTGGTGGCCCCTCAGGCCATCCTTGTCCACTCCCCTGGCCAACATCAGCAGCCCCGGTGCACAGAGGAGGGTGGGTGAGGGATCGAAGCTCAAGAAGTTTCCTTCTCCCAGCTCTGTTGTCTGGAAAACCATTCATCTCCCAAGTTGCTTTTTGAGCAGCCTTCTTTTTATCCCGCCTATTAGTCCCTGTTATGAAGTGTTAAGTATTAAAAACATAAAAGGTCTTTTCCAGAAATACTGCTGTGATTGCTTACACATGTCCACTCTCTGCCTGCTCAGGGAATCTGCTGTAGTATTTCGATGTCTTAACCTCATCTGTTTTCTATCTGATGCTAATAGTCTCAGTGTTTAATTTCCTGAAAAGTCCCGCATCAGATTTAAAGGAAAAGGAGGAAGCATTTTTCCCCACAACTCACCTCTCTCACCCGACTATTTTCTGTCCTCCCACACTCTCATTTCATGTTCTTCCCCTTTAAATGGTGGTCCCCATCCACTGCCAGCCTTAGGAGCCTCCTGCTGGGTGGTGTTGACCCCAGCCTGTCCAGGAACATTGCAGAATGTACAGTAACTCTTGGGAGAAATCAAGACAGCCCTTCGTGAGCAGCACTAGTAGAGAGAAATAAACTTTACACTCTCCAAAATACATTTGTATCTGTCTTTGGAATGATAGTATACTATTATTAACAACAGTAGTAATACTTTTTCACAACAGGTTTTCCTCCTAGGATGCCTCTTGCTTAGGCTGGTGTCATGGTGCTGGTCCATAACCAGTTGGTGGAGGTGGCAGGGATGGGAGACTTGCTGGGATGGAGTCGAATCTTGGTGAATAATTCCCAAAGCTGCTGCAAGCAGGTTGCTCTGTGAAGGAGAATAAAGGTCTTTATGAGACATCGGGACCTCTTCTTGTGCCTTGGCCTTGGGTTGTTGGCTAGTTCTGAGTCCATCCTTTTCTCTGCCTGGGTCATGGGTGGGGAACTGTGTTTTGCCATAACAGGGATGAAGGAAGCCAAGAGGGAGAGGATAAACTTATTCTTCTTCAGCTGAGCTGGGAAACTGAAATGCAGGACAGGACTCTGGCTGGGATGTTCATAAATGAATGCAAAGTCAGGACTAAAACCCCAGGATCCAAATGCTGACCAGTGCTCTTAGCTGCATGTGTGAAGAGAGTTGTTCTCACTTTGGTGCCGGGTTCCTTTCTGGGCCTCAATTCACTTCTGTGATGTGTGGGTAGTACCTACAGTGTGTCTTAACAGAGAAGGAGGAAAGTCCTCTGAATGTGCGTTTGTCCTGTGCTCGTCAGATGTGCCCTGAGGGGCTGCAGGAAGGTAGGACTCCTGCATTTGGAGATGGAGGATGTGGAGCAGCCTTGGGGGCTGCAGAGCAGAGTGACCCCATCAGCCTCCAGGGTGGCTTGTGGTATCACCCTGGCTGCCTACCCTCCCTGGATGGTGCCTGGATGTTTCCCTTCATTCCTCCCTTCAGTTTGTAGCAGTTCCTCTGATCTCCCCAAGGCCCCAGTTCACAGGGCAGACTCCAGGCCAGCGCTTGGGTCTGGGGAGGTAGTTTCACCCCTCCAGCTCTCCTAGTACAGCTGTCCTGACTTGGTGCCTCAGTCCAGAGAGAGGCTGGCTGTCTCCCTCCCTCCCAGGGGATGACTAAGAAGAGGCTTATTCCCTCTGGAGAGCAGGAGTCTCCTGCTTTCCTGGAAGCCAGGGCAGCAGGAGGAGGGAGTGGTATGGGGCAGATGGGTTTCTTCTGGCTTCTAGCAGCTGCCAGCTTCCACATGTACTAGGGCTGCCTCATGCCCTCGAGGGCTCCAGAGAAGTGCTGGCTACTCTCTTGGGGCTGCCTAGCCCATGTGAACCCCTGTGACTCTCTCGCCCACTCACAGCCCAGCACCCCAGGCACAGCATTAGGAAGTGGTCTTCCTTACCTTCTTTGAAGCCCTTGGTCCCAGGCCTTTGCCCAGCTTTTGCTCATGGCCATCTTCTCTAGTAACTTACTCACTGAGTGTGAAAGGAATCCATCCTGCATTTTAAGATCCTGCCTTTCAGACAAAGAAGGAGGTTGTGTCTTGGACTTCTCTTGAGGATTAATTTGCCAGGCCCCAACTTTAATGGAGCTGCTCTCTGAGGATCTGTGACCTCAGGGAGGACCATGAATCCCACATGCCTTGTCTTCCCCTGGGATGCAGTGTCCTAGGAAGGGTTTTAGCACCCAATTTCCTTGGCAGTCCTATGAAGTATTCCAACCTGCTGTCAAGCACAGTCCTCCAGGGAGCTGACTGACCTCCCTGCTTGGGTCTGTCTGATGGGGCAGTCCTTGTGTGCTGTTGTTTCTTATTGTAGAGCTTTGAGGACTGCCTGGAACCATCCAGGGTCTCTGCAGTGGTCTCTCAGTGCTGTCCATTGAGAAGGAGCTGCAACATCTCTCTCATTTAATTGCAGGCCTGGCCTGTTGGTGAAGAGAAGACAGGGTATAAAAAGAGAGTGGATTTGCTAGGAGCTGCAGTAAAAGATTCTAGACTGCAAATTGGAAGGGACTGTTAGGTGTTCCCATGGCTTACTCCCTGTGCTTCACCTGTGCTCGCTCCTCCTCTTGGGGTATCATCTTCAGAATGTGCCTCCCTTCCCCTGACTGCTGCGTCTTCTGGGACCTGGGGCCTAGGGCCTCTGTGACCTACTTGGTCTTGACTGTGGGTGATGGGACATTCTTAAAGGTGTGTGTGTGGGGGGGTCTGTTGCACCTCTCCCTCCCTCCCTGCCTCCCCTCCAGATGACAGCTCCCACTATTTTCTCAGGGGCTGCCTAAGGATTCCCTCCTCAGTATCTATCTAGCCCTTCTGTATCAAGCTCAAGCAACTTTCTCAGCTCATCTTTGCCTATAGTCACAACTGTGGATATAACATTGTACTTAGAAGATTCCACACTGAAATAGGGATTGAAGGTGCCTTCCAGAGTCCAGAATCTAAGCAGGTAAAGGCTTCTGAGGTTACCTTTAAACTTGGGCTGGAGCTGATTGGACCAGCTTCACTTCTTGGAGTAGTTTTAGTTTTTTCCCTCCAGAGCAGTGACAAACAGGTCTTCTCAGGCTCAAGTTTTGGCTGAACATGTCACCTAGGTAGGAATTTGCTCTGAAGTTCAGGGCCTGCTTATGAGGCAGGCAGTGACATCCCATGGTCCTCAAGGAGGGCCCTGCCTGTGTCTTGTGACGCAAACTGGCCTCCCTTTGGGCCACAAATGATGTCACTGTGACAACCAGGTGTTGGAGAACCCAGGGTTTGCTCTTGGGAGAAAGAAATAAAAACTCAGAGCATCAGAAGAGCCAAGATGGGGGAAGGGGGAGGCACACTAATAATAAATTACAGGTCGCCTCCCTTGAACGAACAGAATCAGTGCTCATGATTTCAGACCATGCCCTGTGTCGCCTCCTTTTGTGTCTCACTTTTCTCCTTTGTACATAGTAGTTCTCATTTTGGCTTTAATATCGTGTCTTTCAAGACTGTGGTACAATGATGGCTTCTTGAGGGCTGATGTTCAATTGTTATCCAAAATACCTGATCAGAGCAGGTTCTCCTTGATGGATTTCCTTGTGAATTCTGTGTGATATAAAAAAGATGTGATGTGTAAGGAACACAATATGACAAAATAGCAGATGCATAATTGGAAATCTGTCAATTCTACACATTATTTGAATAAGCACCAGTTTCTGTTCAGCATGGATGTCCAGGTGAGGTCTAATGGCCCATTGCTAAATTTCTTTGTTTCCTGGTGGATGATTTTGAAGCTTGCTGTCTAGGTGTTTGACACCAAACTATTGGGAAGTGTGGTTTGCTCACCTTTACAGATTTTGTCCATGTGTTAGTTGTGCCAAATTTGCTACAAAGTTCTCACAAATGGCATGGCACGATGTATGTGGAGTAGTGTCTCTTCCCCCTTCTAACCTCTTGAATTTGTTACACTCAGATTTTGTCTTTTCCTTTTCCCCAGAACCTCTCTTGTCAAGGTCATCAGTTATCTTCAAGTTACTGAATCCAGTGGCAACTTTTCCATTCCTATCTGACCTGACCCTCAGTAGTACTTTACTCATCTTATTTTCTTTTCTTGGAGACTCTTTCTTCTCTTATAGTCCAAAACTCCACATACTTCTGCCCTTTCTCTGTAGCACTGGCTGACTGTTCCTTCTGCCTCTTTTCTGGCTCATCATCTTTGTCCACTAAACCGGGGCCCCCAACTCCCAGGGAACTGGGCTGCACAGCAGGAGGTGGGCGTAAGACAGGTAGATGAAGCTTCATCTGTATTTACAGCCATTCCCCATTGCTTACCTTGCTGTCTGAGGTCTACCTCCTGTCAGATCTTCAGCGGCATTCGATTCTCACGGTAGTGTGAACACTACTGTGAACTGTGCTTGCCGGGGATCTAGGTTGAGTGCTCCTTTGAATCATCCTAAAACCATCCTGCTTCAACCCCACCCAGTTTTTCCATGGAAAAATAGACTTCCATAAGATCTATCTGTGGTGCCAAAAGGGTTTGGAACCACTGCTCCAAACATCAGAGTGCCTTAGGCTTCTTCTCTATTTACCATTTCTTCTTAGGTGATTATATCCATAGTGCAGTGGCATTACACATCAGCTCTTCTCCAGTAACTACCAAATTTGCATTTCCAGTCAGGACTTGCCTCTGTATGCCAGATTTTTATGCCCAGCTCAACATCTCCACCGGTTGCCTAAGAAGCATCTCAAATTAGTTCACCTTACAATGAATTCTGGGTTTTGCATCTCATATCTTATTCTTCCTAGAAGCAGTCTTCTTTACATTAGTCTCTATTACTCAAGTACTCAAGCAGAGGTCTCATTTTCTCACATCTAGTCCAACAGTAAATTGATAAGTAGTATCAACTACTTCCTACTATGTCTTTTATCACACCATTGTTACAGCCGTCATCTCCCACCTGGACATTCCAACAGCCTCCCTAGTCCTTTACATTTTCACTCTGCTCTCCACACAGCACTCAGAATGAACCTTCTACAGTGTAAGTCAGATTGTTTCTCCTGTAGGCTGCAAATCTCCCTCAAAATTCAGAGCTTTTAGCAAGGGATACCAACCCCCGTGATATGAGCATAACTGTGACTTTCTGCTGTTACCTCCCACTATTCTTTCCATGTTCATTCTGACCCAGGCATACTTTCTTTAATCTTCCTAGGACATACTCTTGTTTCAGGGCTTTGTGTAGGAAGATTATTCTCCCCAGAACATTCCCCCATTTCATTCTGGTCTCAGCACAAATGTCACTTCCTCTTACAGGACCTTCCTGCCCATCCTATCTAAAATAGCACACTACTCCCCGCCTTTCACATACCTCCTTACCTTGATTTACTTTTATAACATTTCCAAATCTTATATGCTCTGTGTGTATGTGTGTTTTCCATACCAGGTGTATGCTCCATGACTGCAAGAACTCTTCTCTATTTACTGCTGTGTCCTCTGGACAGCGCCTTGCACATAGATGTTCAATGAATGCTTGTTAAATGAGTGGATAGTGAATGCCAGGGCTCACTTTACTGGAATAGGCAGGACAAGGAAATCAAGAAGGAAAGGTTAAGCCTATTAGGTGCAGGACTGCCTCTGGGTGTGATAAACGCTACCTTTGTTATTGGGAAAAGGAGAAGGTGGTTCCTTTAGTTTCTTGCTCTGGACATCTCCTTTGTAGATGTCTCATGAGACTTTTCTTAAAAGCTGGGTTGGGCCGGGGATTTAGCTCAGTGGTTCTGCTGTCTGCTTCACAAGTGCAAGGACCTGAGTTCAATCCAAGGTCCCCCCCCCCAAAAAAAAAGGGCTAATGGGCTAATGGGGATAGAATTCTGACTTGCTAAAGTGGACAAAATAATATAAACAGTATAAACAGTTATGTACCTTCACCTTTGATCTGTCTCTCTATTTTTCTTGCTCAGCTGCTGTATCAAGAGTGGGCACGCTATGGAGTGTTTTATAAGTTTCAGCCCATTGACCTCATCAGGTAAGTTATGGGAGTGGTCTTTGGGAAGGACACTCGAAGGGCAAATCCTGGAAGATATACTGCTAACCTGCTTGGCACTGGCAGTCTATTGTTCCAGCAGAGGGGCCTGCTTTTCTCGGGTGCGAGATCCCACCTTCTGTGTCTTATGTGTGATGAAGCAGCAGAGAGATGGTGTGGGAAATGGATATCCCTTGATTCCATCCTGAGGTCCTCAATGGTCTCTCTTTCCTTGCCTGGGCTTTAAGAGTAGAAGAGTTGTCTCTTATTCTTTTCCATAAACTTGCCTAGGGAAGGACCTAGAAGAAATAGAACCTTGGGTGATACCTGAGTGGCCACAGTGTTAACCAAGGGAAAAGGAGGTCTGGAAGGTAGCAAGGGGAGCAAGCTGGCTGCGCTGATGGGGAATGTGGGTTCTTTGGGACTTTCCTAGAAGGGAGGTTAGAATAGAGGTCCTTCATTGCTGTCCCCAGAAGGATGTGCTTAGAACTTTCCTCTGGTTCACACTGATGAAAGGTCCTTTGAAGGAACTTAAAAGAATACAGTAGGTCTGGTTAGCTTAAAATGGGTCAGGCTCTAGAAATTTTCTTATGATATGCTCTTAGAGTCCCACTTCCTTCTGGCTTGAATGTTGATAGGGAACACTGGGAAGGAGGAAGATATGGGGCTGATAATTTGGTGACCTGGGTTTTAGTTCAGACCTGGGCACTAAGTGCTGCTGGTTTTCTGGGCCAGGCACATTTGTCCTGTGGCCTTCAAGGTCCTAGTTGTCATAAATTGGGGATGATGTAATAACTTGGTAGCACATGCCCATTCGGAAAAGGTGGGGGCACTGAGCTTGGGGAGAAGACTGACTGGCATGATGGCCTCCCTGCCACACAGTCATTGGTGACTCTTCTAATGAGCTAATTAGCCTGCACATGCAGAATGTTCCCGGGTGCCTGAACTGGGCTGGGGCTGTGGGGAGAGTAGCCTCCGAGATGATTGAGTCTATAGGGAGGAGTTCCAGCTTCTTCTTGGAAAAGAGCACAGTGTGCTGGCCGGAGCTTGGGCAGGCTCACCTCCTGTGCTGCGATGTGACAGGCCTCTGGGGGAGCTGGGAAAGGCAGGTGTTGGGTCCAGCTGAGGACCTTGGGCTTGGGAGCAGGGCTGTGGGTGACTGTAACTGAGAGTCCTTACCCAGCAGCTCTGCTCCCTGGCTGCCTTTTTTGCAGAATGGGCCACCAAGACTGTTCTTGAGGTCATACCAGGCTGCTTCCTCCATTCTTGTGGGCTTTGATCTCTCTCTCTGGATCTCAAGTGGCCACCCACCTCTGTCACCTGTTTTGTCCAACTACCCACTTGTTTTTTTAAAACATGAATAAAAAAACAAAAATCTTCCCTACCAGTGAGTCAGTCCTGTCTTTTCCCCAGAGACTTCAGGTAACTTGCCTGCCAGCTAAGTGGGGATGGATCCAATATGCACTGGGTTTTGGCCACCAAAGCAGCCTCAGTGGCAGGGGGAGAATTGTCTTTGGAGCACAGCCCTTCTCTGGGGCCTGGCTGGTTTGGAGAGCCCAGATCTATCAGGGCACAGGAGCTAGAGTGGAGCCAGAGGCTGACCACAGCTTCTCCCAGAGCGGTTGGCTCAGGGTTGTCCCACAGTCCCTGGGCAAGGCCAGAGGTGGTGTGATGGGGAAGGAAGAGGAGGCTGAGCCCGGAGGGGCAGGGAAGGTGGGATGGGTCCTGTGGAGTGTGGGGGTTGTCACCTACCTCATGGCGTAAGGAGCCGCTGGAAAGAGAAGTGAGGACAGTGAGGTGTGCTGGGGCCTGAGTGAGCCAAGCAGAGATGGGGAGACCGTGCACAAAGGCCTGGCAAGCTCACAAAAAGATAGCTGGGGTGCGGAAAGTGGGAAGCGGCTCCTGGCACTTAGCAAGCTCCATCCTGGACTCGTTGCTGTACATTTACCTTCTCTTCCTGGTGGCTCTGACTTGCTTACTTTGATTCTGTGAAAAACCCCTCCTCCTTCCTTTTCATTGTCACACAGCCATGGAACCTCAGGATCCTGATGTTTTCCTTTCCCTCCTCGTCTGTGGATGCTTCTTCAGCACCATCTCTCCTTCCTGCCTCTTCTCCCCCATCTTTCCTGCCACCTCCTGCAAGGACCCACCTGGCCCGCAGCCCACAGGCTGTGGCTCTTCTCTCAGAACCATCCTGGGCTCACTGCGCTGGTTGGCTCCATCCCTGCATACGAATGTGAATGGCACCTCTTTGTGCCACAGGGAGACGTTGCACTCCTGCGGTCTGTCTTGGAAGATGGATGGGGACAGGGGAGTCTTATCCAAGGTGGATATTATAATTCATGCACATGTGTGGCCAAGCTACTTCTCACCTCTTTCCCAGGTCACTCTGCCCCTCATTTGAGCACCAACTTTTGCTTCTTCTCTGGAGCCCTGTGCCAGTTGGTTGGCACATTTGAAAACGCTTGTGTGAGCAGTTGAGAGCTCATTGGGTATCAAGTCTGGTTGTATGTTTAAAGCCTAGGGACCATTCTCCTTCTAATCTTGAGCCTTGGGATCTGGGGCTCACTTCTTGGAAGGTGCAGTTGAACAGAGGGGAGTGGCAAGGTGCTGTGTCCCAGTCCCCAGTGGCACCATTGTTCGTGTCCAGTAGGCTGCACTGTGAGAATACGCATTGCTCCTGCTCAGACCTACAGGACTCTGTACCCTGGATCCCACCTTCGCTCTAGAAATCTTGGGGAGCCAGAGAGAGAGGGGGGGAGGGACATGGAGTCAGACGGAGACAGAAGGAAAGGGGAGGGGATCTAGCAAGTAGGCATAGGTATGCCTCCCAGCCCAGAAGATCCCTCTGGGAACACCCAGCCAGCAGTACCATTCCCTGGCAGAGCAGCAGTTTGTGACCAGGGTGATGGGGAAATGAGGCCCGAGATAGAGCCAGTAGCTCTTGCCCCCACAGAGTGGACAGGAGGCTTTCGCAGCTACAGTAGTAGGTTTCTGCCTGAACTGCTCCAGCTCAAGGCCTCGAGAACCCAGGAGGGAAACAGGCTTTTATTTTCTGGGGACTTGGAAGATCTGAAGCCTTTTGGCCTCGCCAAAAGCCCTCAGGGGACTGCACCCTGTTGGCTTTGGGGAATTTACCCAGGGGATGATACAAGAGGTGCCCTGCTGCACCCACCCAGGATTACAGTCTGGAAAGGGAGTGGCCCTAATCATCTCCCTTTCTGGGGTGCTTGTTCTCTGAATGAGGCTCTGTGCACTGAGAATTAGTCTCTGTCACGAAGCCTGACTGCACAGAAGCTCTGGAGTTCTCTTACACATGTCCCATTTTGAGGCCCCAGCCTGTGGCACAACTTCCTCCATGATCTCAGTGCTGTATCTAGGCAGGGCCGTTTCAAGATTGCCATACATCTCCACTGTCTTAGAGTCACAGCCCTCTGCAGCCCCACTGGGGAGAGCCTGCCAGAGCCCTGGCATCGCAGGGTTGGCTCTTCCTCCTCACAGTGCCAGGCATGGTCACTGTCTTTGTTAGCATTCTCCAGAATGTCCACCTGCAGGCCGTGTGACTCAGTCCACCCCTTCTGCTCTCTGGGCTCTTCTTCTACCCTCTTCATATGTGATCCATCCAAGTCTTTCCAAAAGGGAGCCAGGGATAGAAGGAAATGTAGAGAAAATAATATTAATCAATCTGTGATTAATTATTTCCTGAGCCCCACTTCCTCCTTGATCCTGGGATTTGGAGGGCCATTCAGCTCAAAGCAGTAAATATGTGTCTGTCGCATCTTTGATCAATAATATGGGGAAATGCCAAAATGATTAAGGTAGAACCGATGGCAGTTAGGGTTTAACAGTTATGTAGGGAGACAGCTGTGCAAGACAGGATGAAGTGAGGTCTGTAAGAACTATAATAGCATAAAACAGCAGATGAAGAATAATTGCTACTGGCAGAACAAGGGAGACTTCTGGAAGAAGTGGCACTCAAATCAAAACTGTTGCTTTCTGAAATTGAAGAATGAATCTCTGTTGCCATCCTGGATCGCTCTGTTATAGATTTATGTTTTAGCCTGACATTGATAGCTGAAAATCACACTGATCCAAAGCCAGATTCTTCCTCACTATTAATTGGGAGTGGTCAGCTTCCATAGTTGACTTGTGGGCATCATCTCTGAAGCTTCGGTGCCTGCCTGGCCCATGTGCCTTGCTCTGCCTTGTGTATTAGCAGGGAATCCAGGCCCAGAAGAAAGGGAAGCGAAATCCACAAGAGGAAGGTGACATGGGCTCAGCATCATGGCTTTTGTGTGGCTCTTAGCATTTGAGAGTTGGATTAATCTGGGAAGCATCTTTCTGTGTGGGAAGGAGCAATACATTGTGAGCCTCAAGAGTATTTTTGTCTCACCTCTAAGGGCGTGAGAGCAGAGTGGCCAGAGAAAAGTAGGCAGCAGCTTGTTGAGATGAGGCAGAAACAAGGATGAGAAATTCTGTGCTGGTATATTCTGCTCTATTGGATAGATCAGGATGCTAGTCAGTTCAGTGTAGGTGTGAACAAGCTCTGTCTATGTCTCCTTTCCCACACTTCTGCCACTGAGCATCACTTGACTCTAATTTGTGCCCGTTCATAGGGTGGCTTTGTTGGTCATGTGGTTGACCAGTTGACCTAGGATTTTGGGTAGATGTTCCTACCTATGGCCTGACTTCCGAGGGTGGCCTCCCCATCCTCCCCAGGGCCTTTCATGGTTGCGGCTCCTGATTTAAATCAAACTTTTAATCTTTCTTCCTGTAGCATCACCCACATGGTACAGATGTTGAGTTCCAAGGTATCAACAGGCTATGCATATTTTCCAGAGCTACCCAGAATTCTGTGAGCAGAGCTGGGGAAGAAGATGTCTGGCTCACCAGCTCATGCCGTCCTTGACCTTCTTATTATGCCCTGTTTTGTAGGAAGAAAAGAAGCTGATGCTAGTCTGAATATATATGACAATTTATATATCTTGGTTTTTGTATGCAAT